ATTCTGATGTCAAGCAGTAATAACATCGCTTTTCAATTAAAAGTATTGATATCAATATGTTTCTAAGTAAAAATAGACCTCCCACGGCGACATTGCTACATCCAATAAAAATCTATCAATATTAGAATTTTTCTAATAATATACTACATCATTCATCAAAAATACAGATAGATCAACTGTTGGGTTGCTTTCTAAAAAAATACGTTATTAAAGAGTTGTAACAAGTTTATAATACTATTAATATCTGATTGCTCTTAATAATAATAATAACTAGCTGTAAGTGGAATTCTGTCTTAAGGCAATTAAGGCATCGTGCCTTAAGGCAAATTGCTGGAACTTTACGTACCAAAAATTATTATTTTTTTAAAAACAATTAACATTTTTGAAAAAAATTTACTTTGAAAAAATAAGATTTTTGAGAAACTATAAATTGGACAAAAAATTATTTTTTTAAAAAAAAATTTTTTTTTTTAATTTTTTTTTTTTTTTGAAAAAAAAAATTTTTTTCTTTATTTTGACATATTATTCTGAACTTTTTTTTTTCAAAGCAATCGTACTGCTTTAACTGCATAGGGACAAAATATAAAGCGCGTAAGCGCCGCGTCGCTGTCTAACGCATAAGCACTGATACGGAACCCATAGGAATGTTAACAAAATGTATACTTATTGTTAAAATCTCTATAAAATATCTGATAATTTGATGTGCATATGTCTAATGATCATTTTTGACCGCCAAATGGCTTATTTTTTACTTTTTCTTCCATATCTCCGAAACCGCTAGACCTACCTTCATAAAAATTTTATCGATTCTTCATCTTGTCAATACAAGTGAAATGTTTTTTGAATTATTCAAATCGGACGCTCCGTTCTCTTAAAAATTGAGTTACCGTTTTCGGCACTTTTTGCCCCGTATCTTCGGAACGGCTAGACCTGCCTTCGCCAAAAACTAATCAGCACGTCTCCTTATCAATACAAATCGAATGTTTTTTGAATTATTCAAATCGGTTGATCCGTGCTCCCGAAATCGTCGACGAAAATTTGTATCCGCACATACATACACACACGTACATGCGTACATACATACATACATACATACATACATACATACATACATACATACATACATACATACATACACACACACACACACATACATCCATTTTTTCTAAGGTATGCCAAAATATTCAGAAACCTTTGAAACGTAAAGATATATAAAAATTTTCATTTTTGATTTTTTTGCGATTACTATAACTTGCCCTACGGGAAGTTAATAATAAATGCAGCTCTAATATCGATTGGCTTATAGTTAGAAACACGGTCCCTTTTTATGTAACAATAATGATAACTAGTGGTGCAGGGCATCGAGTTTTTTTAGACAAATTGCTAGAATTTTCCATACCGCAATTTAAAATTTTTAAAAACCTTAAATTTCTAAAGAACATTGACAAAATAATATTTTTGAAATATTTGAAAAAATCGACCTTTTTGAAAATTTTGAAATTTTTGAAAAAAATCGAATTTGGAAAATTTTTAAACGCATACAAGATCCACACGGTCGTAACTGTCATTTTTCAGGATATTTGTTCGAACTATTTAAGTGAACTTTAAACATCCCACATCCTTCTGTATCAAAGCTCCTGGGGTATAGTTTCGAGTTTCCTGCTATATTCTCGATCACTGATAAAAATATTCGAATGCTTCATACATGTTTCGTTTATCGAACGCTCTCCGAGCCGCCTAATTTGAATTTAAATTGTTCCTTTACTTAATAAAATTATTTAAGTTGTGCGAATGCGGGATTTGATATTCTCGTCGTGTATTTCAGCCCTCTGCCGACGAACGGATCTTTAATCTTGCAACCTATTGTTTGAGTTTCTCTTATAGGCGGATCTGCTCCTATATACAGAATCGAGCAACGTGCTGACGCCAGTTACATTTGTAAATATTTAAACTAGACAAAGCCTAGTTATTCGGTGTGACTTTTCGAAAACGACAGCAAATTATTAATTGCGAAACGCTAATGGTTCCCTAATTAGTCACAAAAACTCGATCCACATATACTCGATTAGCATGGGTAGTGTGAAAAGCCCTTAGTTTACGGAATAAGCTGTTTAGAGATACAGACAACTTTATATATCTTTATATTGTAACTTATATTGTAAAGAATTTTTGAAGAAAAATTTATTTTGAAATATTTTGGAAATTCAGAACATTTTTTCAAAGCAATCGTACTGCTTTAACTGCATAGGGACAAAATATCGAAGTGCGTAAGCGCCGCGTCGCCGTCTAACGGATATACATTGGTACGGAACCCATAGAAATGTAAACAAAATTCACACTTATTGTTAAAATCTCTATAAAATATCTGATAATTAGATGTGCATATGTCTAATGATCATTTTTGACTGCCAAATGGCATTTTTTTTACTTTTTTTACTAAATCTCCGAAACCGCTAGACCTGCCTTCATGAAAATTTGATCAGTTTTTCATCTTGTTAATACAAGTAAAATATTTTTTGAATTATTCAAATCCGACGCCCCGTTCTCTTAAAAACTGAGTTACTGTTTTTGTCACTCTTTGCACCATATCTCCGGAACGGCTGGACCTGCCTTTGCCAAAAACTAATCAGCACGTTTCCTTATCAACAGCAATCGAATGTTTTTTAAATTATTCAAATCGCTTCATCCGTGTTCCCGAAATCGTCGACGAAAATTTGTATCCGAACACACACACATACACGCACACACGCGCGCACACACACGCATACACACATACATCCATTTTTTCTAAAGTATATCAAAATGTTCAAAAGGTTTTGAAACGTAAAGATATATAAAAATTTTCGTTTTCGATTTTTTGCGATTACTATAACTTGCCCTACGGGAAGTTAATAATGAACTTGCAGCACAAATTTATTTAGATATTATATTACAAATTAATTAATCACGTTTTTAAAATGTTTAAAAAATCATTGATATTACCCGAAATTAGATTTTGAATTATAGACAGTAATGAAATCCCTTGCATTTTTACTACTGTCTATCATTTATTAATCACAACGTGTGGATGTACGATGTATGTCACTTTTACATTTACTCATGATATAAAACTTGACCACGAATCAGTGACACAATCAGTTGAAATGTTAAGGAATCCAAAGAATTGACAACTTTAATTGAGGCATACGTATACTATCAGCAGATCAGAAATTTAAAAAAAACTTATAAAGAGAAATTCCTTAACTCTATTACGTATATCTTACTATATTCATATTGTATTGCAAAATGTAACATGTTCACATTCAAATGTATTAGATTCATTGCAGCAGTACTGTATTTTCTAAGAAGTTTATGTCACACCATTTGCTTGTATAATTGTTTGTTATTATTAACTTTCCGTAGGATAAGTTATATTAACCCTCCGTCGGTCGGCGTGGTCTGGCCAGACTTTTTTCGACTTCAATTAAAAAAAAAAATAATACTTCTAGTAATCCTTTCGACTTGAAATTTCTTGACTTTTCCTAAAATTTCATTAGCTGTCGATCAATAAAAAAATCAGGACGAAAAAAAGTACAGAAGGATAATTATAAGGATATTAACTCGATTCGAACGGTCGGAAAGGTCTGTCTAGACCACCCATACATTTTGTATGAAATATACGCTTTTTGATATATGTAAACCAGTATTTTGTCTTTTTTCATGGTATTTTCTATTCAGACTGCGTTGTTTATATTCTTTGCTATGTGTTCTAACATGCATGTTAGTATTTTCATGACGAGAGTTCTTTGAAAACCTACCAAACTTATTGGTAATCGCAAACACTGAAAATAGGATGAGTAATGCACACATTCATATCAAAGGCGCCGAAAAAGAATAAATATTGTTTTTCATTGATTTAAAACAGAAAAATTAACAAAAAAAAGCAACGATTTTTTTATATTTCTTGATTTTTTTTATATAATCGTTAATACATAAGACACCAAAAACTCATTTATCCCATATATCCCGAATGGTGGTCCGACCGACGGAGGGTTAATCGCAAAAAAATCAAAAATAATTTTGTTTTCATAACTTTACGTTTGAAAGGTTTATGAACATTTTGGCATACCTTAGAAAAAATGGATGTTTGTGTATATATGTGTGTGTGTGTATGTTTGAACACAATTTTTCGTCCGCGATTTCGGGCGCACGAATCAACCGATTTTAAAGATTCAAAAAACATCAATACAAGTATTGACGGAATTAAGAATTGATGAAATTTTTGGTAAGGCAGGTCTAGCGGTTTCGGAGATACAGAGAAAAGAGTACAAAAAATATTTGGCGGTCAAAAATGACCATTAGGTATATGCACATCGAATTATCAGATATTTGATTAAGTTTTTAAAAATGAGTACTAATTTTGTTACAATTTTGTTGGGATCCGTACCAAGATTTTTTAATTTTTAAAGTTTACTTATACGGTTCAAGCTAATTTCAAAATTTTCAGAAAATTATTTTTTTCAAAATTGTAAAATGTATATATTCCAAATGCGTTATTCTAATCGTAAGAAATATATCCTCAGACGGATTTATTTGGTACCTCTTGCTAATGCGAACTTTCGCAAGTGATAAGATCGTTACTGTATATTTTATGAACGATAACATATATAGTTATTATAATTATCTGTTAAAAAATGTTCAAAACAATTGTTATTAATCATTGATCAATATTTAATGATTACTGATTTCTTTCTTTCGAATATTTAATACTGGTACGGGAAGTTCCAGCAATTTGCCTTAAGGCACAATGCCATACACCACTAGTTGTTGCTTGGTAATTGAATAACTTCACAATTTTTGGCTTAATGTGTGATGTATGTAGTAATAAATGATTTCCGTTGTAGGTATTTTCAACACACGTGTGATTTACCTGTGAATGAAGTTTTCTTACCATTTTAAAGCGTTTAAATAATTCTGATTGACTAGACGTAACAAAAATTAAAATGTAAAAACTATTTTACCTTCTTGAAGTCCACTGTAAGCAGTTTCTCTGTGGCATGCTTTTGATGCTTTTATAACTTCAAATTCTACGCAATACCTGGAATAATAAAATAAAATTAATTTTAATTACATAATTATTATTTAATGGAATACAAAATGTATTTTATAAATATAAATATAAATATATTTTCAAGTATAGTAATAACGTGTGTCAAGTTTCATCAAAATTGAAAACCGCATTTTTGAGAACATACCATCTGTTTAAATAGTATTGAGCGCGGAGCCAGCCACCCATTAACCTCGCATATATCAGAAACTATTGAATATTTCAACTTTAAATTTTGGCCACAATCTTGGTAAAGTATAGTAACAATGCGTGTCAAGTTTGATAGCTGAATTTTGTGGCAAAGTACAAATCGTACCAAAAATTGTTTCGAAAAGGTTGAAGTTCGCTATAATCGTTATATCGGTTTCAAGAAACTATATTGCATAAAAAAAAGAAATTTGCCAAAAAATTTGGTTTTGCTTAGTTATCGGATTTATTGAGTGATGTGAAATATATCGTTTCCAGATATTTGATGGGTAGTTGTAATTTTAGTATCAAGCATTGCGAAGATTCGATTTAAACCTATACTTTTTGAGAACGCGGCACAATCCGGGCCGAAAATGGATTTTTTAAAAACCCGGACCACTTGATGGAAATCCGCGACTGTTCCGGTGAAACTGAACCGTGTGGTCACTTTAATATAGGGGGTCCATAACAAAACGTTAGGGAAACACATCGCAAGGGGTCCACGGCACAAACAAGTTTGGGAACCTATAGTGAAAATTATAACATAATTTATATGTGCCCATATCTTGCAATCTACATATGTACATTCTACACAATCCTCTTCACTTGAATATAAAAAAGCTTCACTACAAACCAGACAATATCTTTACTGCATATTACAGCTAGCCCCAAAGTTTTGTTTCAACTTGTTAAATTAAGTTTCAATGTTAAATTAGAAGAATAAGATCTAGAAATAAAATAATTCAAATATTTTTCTGTTTTTTGCTGATTTTTTAACACTTCAATAGCAAAGTAGCTATAAACAAAATTAAACTAGAGAAAGCTTACTATAATTTATTCAATATCTTTTATTTTGTTAAACCAATTATTTTATTTATAGATCTTATTCGCTTAATTTAACATTGAAAATATTCATTTATTAGAGAGAATGTGGTCAAGTTCAAAGCGCTGTCATATGTGGAGAGATTTGGTACTGCGGCGAGAGCAGCAAAGACTTTGAGGTGGCCGTACTCTCAAACAATCAATTCTACAAAATAACGGTTTTCTAAAGAATTGTAGTAAATTTTATCTAGTTTAATTCGTTTATAGATACTTTTATCGTAAAATGAGCCAGAAAGGAGATATTTTAAAAAAGCTCTTTTTTGACGCCATTTTTCCAATATGGCGGCAACTTGCCGTTCAAATTTGAGGTGGCAAAGTTCATTTTCGAAAATAGCACCTTGAAATCTATAAGATTACTAATTTTCAGAATTCCCGGAGTATTATACCGGCAACAGACTTTTTTTGCACCAAATGACTGGACTAATACATTTTTGAATAAAAAAATTTTTTTGGAAAAAAGACTTTTTGAAAAAAAAAGTTTTCTTTATTTTGAAATATTTTAAAGTTCTGAACTTTTTTCAAAGCAATCACACTGCTTTAACTGCATAGGGACAAAATATCGAAGCGCTTAAGCGCCGCGTCGCCGTCTAGCGGATAAACATTGGTACGAAACCCATAGGAATGTAAACAAAATTTATACTTATTGTTAAAATCTCTATAAAAATATCTGATAATTTTATGTGCATATGTCTAATGATCATTTTTGACCGTCAAATGGCATTTTTTTACTTTTTTCACTAAATGTCCGAAACCGCTAGACTTGCCTTCATGAAAATTTAATCAGTTGTTCATCTTGCCAATACAAGTAAAATGTTTTTTAAATTAGTCAATCGGACACTCCGTTCTCTTAAAAACGGAGTTACCGTTTGTGGCACTTTTTGCCCCGTATCTTCGAAACGGCTAGACCTGCCTATGCCAAAAACTAGGCCTTTGGAACAGTAGCTAATACAATATTATGCAGAACGGTTTACATATCCAATCGAGACAAAATATATTTTAATATCGTACAAGATCCTATTAAAAAACGCCTGCTACTACTTAACCCTGTTACAATAAGCCCCTAGCTCCCCTACCTATTTTGGTAAGATGTCGTTTATGAAAACCTATTACCGCAGATTCTGCAGGAGAAAAAAGAATATAACTGGGTAGTGTAAGTGGGTAGGTAGGTTGCAGGTACCCATATTCTTATGTAGCATAAAATATTTCATAATTCTTTTGAGGGGACGCTTTCGAAATTGTCAAAGCGGCATGCATTCACGTCTAAAGTGCGTCTGTGTGCTTTGCTCGGCAGAGCAAAAGTTAAAAAGCAAGAAATAAGTAGAAGCAAATAAAACGAACTTTCTTTCCTCTACTACGATGGTAAGAAATGTTTCACTAGTGGAGAACAAAACTGCAGATTATACACTTGTTTTACTCTACAAGTTTGTGACAACATTTTAGTTAAAAAAGCGATTTAAAAAAACTTTCATTACTTTATAAAACGCTCACGTAAATATGACGGATGGACTTTGCGAGTTTTCATGTAAAACTGAGGCAAACAAATATTTCAGTAATTTGATTTTAATGTAGTTTTGTGATTATGACAAACAGAATTACAATTACATTCGAAATAACATACGTTACATATCAATAATCCAAGTAATATATCAATCTGACCTACTTTATTAGGTACTTGTTCAAACTAAAGTTCTTTTTAGTTTACAATAATATTCGAAATAACGTAGGGTAGGGCGGGACACAAAAGCCCAATTTGACTTTTAGCAATTATATTGTGAATACCAAATCAATATTATCGCGATAAATAAAACATCGAATAAACAACTATCTGACTATATTCAGTAAAACTTCCAGCTAATTTATCATTGTAGAAATGTTTATTCTTTGTTTTCCAATCTGGCATCTGGTTTTTCACACTAATTAGGCGGGGTAAAAGGGGCCTGCCAGGGGGCAACCAAGGGTAATATCTTATTTTTTATTTAAAAAATAAGACATGAACAAGAAAAATAGCTACGTTATTCAACCAATGCAAAATATAAATTTCACGGGTACATTTTTTACAACGTTAACACTGCATATAACTTTGATCTAGTATTTCGTCAGAAAGAATCATCAGCATAGATGGAATAAGTATTTATCTAACTTATCGCTTGCAAAATTGCTTTTGTTATCTTTCGTCATTTACTATTTTTATTGTTCACACCTTTGTCAGGGTGAACGTTCAGCTTTATCGAGGTATTATAAAACAAGCTATTAAATCTAACTTATAACTCTTATAAAAAATAAATGAGGTATACATAAAAATTATATCCTGGTGTTGAAAACTAAAGAACAGTGCACAAAGCCAAAGAGACTAACAACGAAAAAAACGTCTTCTGTTCAAATATTGATAGAAAGCTGTTTATCTCCTGATAGAGACGTCGTAAAAACTAAAATGATGGCAGGTAATGTCTATTTTGCCTTTTACTTTAAAACAGTATCGTTAAAAAATTCTAAACTTTACCACTTTTTGCAATGATGGTGGTGAAATGTTTTACCCGCGGGCCATTTAATTTGCGCTCTACACGATATTAATATTGAAATTATCATATACCGTATTACCATTATTAATAAGTAGGAATCTGTTGTTGGCGACAACATGGAGATTGTACGTATATTGCTGGTACGTGTAAGCATGTACGCCGTTCACGAAATTGGCTGCTCGGTCAAGATATTCCTTCCCATTCAATAGGACCTCGTATTCCAATTTCCTGTGCACACATATATGCATAATCTATCTTTAGAAGAATCGATTTAAAAGGGAGTCGATAGGCTCTTTTTGCTCAAATCATTTCCAAATATTTTTTGCATTTATTTACATTCAAAAGTCACCCACATTGTTAACAACAAAAGCATAACTCACTTTAAACTCACTTAACACAATTTCTCAAGAACCCTATCAATACCGTGTCATAAGCGAGAAGGCGTATCATATGGAACAAAAAAATCCGTACTATATAATCAAAATAATCACTGATTTTGATTTGTTTGAGAGGTGAATTAGAAAGCACAAAATTTTCAACGTAACTCAACTTTTGCAGGACGTCTGACAAACCATTTGTAAAGTAGTAAACGTAACTTTTTTGACCCATCAGAATTGGTACAGGAAAGTGAAACTCTCTATTCTCGCTTCACCACCATTTTTCACTTGAAAAAATTGTACTTGCCTGACATCATTTCAGATGACTAAAGCGTTACCGATGTCCTGCAGTTCGTAATTTTGCAACAATTTATTATAATGTATCAACATATTATGGTGCACGAGCAGCAATTTTTCAGTGATTTGATGGAACACAATTCCCTTGAAATATTTTAGTGAAGCTGCTTTTAACATGCCAATAAGGCCACTGAAATGCAGTTTTAAAGTTCGTACTTGATGAAGCCATTCCAATAAAACTTTTTACAATTTTTCAAACTATTCTACATTTTGCTTTTTGCTCTACATACCCCAAACTGTATTTTCCTTTAATTTCTTTTCTATTCTTTAAATGATACGTAACGTAGAAACTGGTAAGTGAAGCTTAGCAGCTAACTAAGTTTAATCATGTTCGTGAATTTTATATAAAACTTTCAATACTACAATTTGTTCTTGAAGAGTCGATGGCTATTGCTTTGGCTTGTTAAACGAGGTGAAAAATCGTATTAAGAGTTAAGAAATGTATGAAAATACGTATTAAATTGCAGGGACTGGCGTAATATGGCGCATTATATATACATATATATATATATATATATATATATATATATATATATATATATAAATTGTAAACATTGCGCATAATATCAATAACACATCTGATTTTGATTTTTTTTTAAATTATTCCAAAATTTATACAATTTGGCTATAGACCTAGTTTATTCAGTAAGAAATTTTCTTAAGCTAATAA